GTGCCCGGGTGCGTGGGCCCTTTCAATGCTGTTTGCAGCTTTAATACTGTGTTTATTATTGTGCTAAGTTAAACATTCTTCTGCTCTTGGGTCCTTCCTTTCAGAGATTGTTACACCAGCAAGTGCCAGGTTCATTTAAGGGATACAGTTAGGGATGGCTCAATACCATAATTTTGGCTTCGGTACGATACCAGAATGTAATACCTCGGTATTGATACTAAATCGATACCATAGGTGGCAAATAACCAGCCTAAAAAAATAAGTGAACTGAAGAAAAAGAAAGGGGAAAGAAAACAAAGTGAATGATCATCATATATAGTATGTATTAATCTTGGTTAATGTTAGGTATGTGTTTAATGCATACAGTAATGTTAACATACTAAACATATATTAGTAGCCTACATTTATCATTTATAAATAATTATTGACCTACATTAATAAGTGCTGTAATACTGTTAATGCTGTTAATGAATTAAAACAAATGTTTATTTAAAGTGTTATTCTAGTAATATTCAAAATCACGTTATTATTTCTCTCTCCCTCAGATTGTTTTCAGATTTCAGACTCAGATAGGCAAAGAAAAAGCTTTAAATATAAATCTCTCTCTCTGGGCTGCTTCATGTTAGCAGTCAGCAATGTGGCAGAAACATTCCCTTCATATTATTGATACTAAAATTAAAATAGCAAAACTGTTGTTTCATTCAAATTAAATTAATATTTGATTATTTGAAATGCAAGTGCAAATATTATGTGACCAAACCATCACTGGTTCTAGCGTCACATGTTTCGTGTTTACTGCATCACATATTATGTATGTGCGTTGATCAGTTGTGAATAAAAGTTAAAATTAAGTCTGAATTTATGAATGATGCACTAACCTGTCGATCTCTTAATTCTCGGAAAAGATCAGGATGAGCAAGGGACAAATACTTAGCAAGATTTGATGTGTTGCCTCTTGTTTTTTGCTTTTGTTAATTGTATAATAAATGAAAAGAAAACAGAAAGCAAGTGTTAGTTACTAGCAGAAAACTAGCAGCAAATGAAAAGAGTGCAAGTCTAAACGGGACAAGTGTTTTTTTTTAAGAATAGAGAGTGCTAGAGTTAGAGGTAGAGGTCTTCACGGGTCCACTTGGATCCGAAAACCCGAGGTCCGACCCGAGAGGGTTCGGGTCCAAAACTTCGATGAGTACCTCGGACACGGGTCGAGTTCGGTATTAGCGGTAATGGAGAAGTGGCCAAATCAGTCAACAGGACACCGGGATTTTTCCTGAATGACTGCGGGGCTGCAGGCTGTACACACGTCAATGCCGTTTACGTTCGAGTCCAGTCGGGTTCGAAAATAAATGCCGTCGTGTCTGTCTCGGGTCGGGTTTTTCTTTAAAAAAAAAAAAATTATTTATGCACGTCGGGTTTGGGTAAGAAGTGATTCGGGTCGATTCAGGTTGGGTAAAGATTTTAGGACCCGAGAAGACCTCTAGTTAGAGGGTCAAATAAAGATGGAAGAGGTGTGTTTTTAACCGATTCTTGAAGATGGCTAAGGACTCAGCTGCTCGGATTGAGTTGGGCAGGTCATTCCACCAGGAGGGAACATTTAATTTAAAAGTCTGTAAAAGTGATAAGCGGACAAGTAGTAGGATGATTAGAAAGGATGAGTTTGGAGACTTCTGCCTCAGAGAGTGAAGAGAAGGATGTGAACGAGTGTATGTTTGCTGGTAAGATGTGCTTGACAGATTGTGGTGTGGAAAATTGTGCACTAATGGTTTTCATTTTATTAATGAAGAACGTGGCAAAGTCGTCAGCTGTTATAGTTGATGAAGGAGGGGGAGGAGGAGGGCTAAAGGAGGGTGGAACATGTTTTAAAGAGCATGCGAGAGTTAGACAAATTGTTAATTTTGTTAACGTAGTATGTCCTTTTAGCAGTGGAGACATTAGCAGAGAAGGAAGAGAGGAGTGACTGATACACATTAAGTTCAGTAGGATTTTTGGATTTACGCCACACCCTTTCAGCAGCCCTGAGCTTAGAACGATGTTCGCGGAGAACATCAGATAACCACGGGGCAGAAGGGGTGGTACGGACTGGTCTGGAAGACAAGGGGCAAACAGTGTCTAAATAAGATCAGTATCAGTAGCACTGTTAGCATCAAAAGATGCTAACAGTTTAGGGGAAGGAGGCGAAGATGAAACCATAGCAGATAGCCGGGAGGGTCCAGAGTGAGCGTAGGTAACGTCGAAAGATGACATGTGGAGGGGTATGTGTTGTGTCAGGAACCATGTTGAGATTAAGAGTGAGGAGGAAGTGATCCGAGGTGTGCAGTGGAGTCACCAGTACATGATCAGTGGAGCAGTGTCGTGTGTAAATAAGGTCCAGTTGGTTGCCTGACTTGGGAGTAGCAGTAGTTGACACTCGGTTGAGATCAAAAGAGGCAAGCAGAGTGTGGAAGTCTCCAGCCTGAGGTTTATCTATGTGGATGTTGAAGTCTCAAACAGTAAAGTATGGAAAGTAATGACATATTTCACTTCTACTGTTCTCTTTATTTATTAGTTTCGGGTGCGTTAATAGAGTTTCATCTGTTTCATCCATTGCGTTGTACTGTTGTCAGGTTTACCGGTTTCGCAGCAATTTGGGAAGCACTGCCACCTACAGGTGAACTTCGGAACAGTAGCGTATGAAATACCGAATTTAGCAAAATTATGATATCGTACCGTTTGAAATAGAATAGATACCGGAATTTTTCCAGTACCGATATACCATGCATCCCTACATACAGTACAGTATTACCACTTATTACATGTCATTTCACCACATAAATTATTATGGGGATAAGAGATATTGATTTGAGATTAAACCGTTTTAAAATCTTACCTGTTTGTTATATTATAATCCATATAATATGGATACACATGATGACATAATTAAATAAACTGTACACAAAAAAAATTTATTTGAGTTTATTTTATTAGCTTACCAAACTTTCACTAAGAAAAACTGTGCCAGATGAGCCTGTTATTAGTTGTTATTGAGAAATAACCAGAGGCGGACAGTAACTAAGTACATTTACTTGAGTATTGTACTTAAGTACACTTTTTGAGTATCTGTACTTTACTTGAGTATTATTTTTTCTGGGAACTTATGACTTTAACTTCACTACATTTGAAAGACAAACATTGTACTTTTCACTCCACTACATTTATATGAGTAATATTTGACCAGCAGTATCTGTACTTTTACTCAAGTAATGGAGTTGAGTACTTTGTCCGCCTCTGGAAATAACATACCTCGGAATGTCACAAATGACTAATCAGAATCAAGTTATCCACAAAGCTGTGTAATAACTGTGGTTATCTCGGGTTATTACATGTATTGCTTTGCCTTCTTTGTGCTGTTTTAGCGTCCTTTTATAACCTCCTTCCTTTTTCATGAATAGTGCACTGTTTTTGGTCAGTCATGGCACACTAGGGAGTGAGGAAGTTGGTTCATAAAGTTTATTATTTATTAATAAGCATAATTATTTTTTCTGTGTGATGTTGTCCCAGGCTACAGATTAGCGTGTACTGAAAAATAAACAAAAATAATTTACAGAGAGCTAATGGAAAAATTAGAGTTAATGTCAAAAACTTGCCTGTCTCTGTCAGATAGGGTCAGGAATTAATGGGCTTAAAGGTCACATATTTTACACCTTTCTGGAGTTTTATTTTAAGTCTTGATGTCCTTAAGAATATATATTTGCGGTATTGATAAGCCAAAATCCATCTCAATATGTTTTTACAGCTCCTCTCTTAGGAGCTCTACAAAGAACAGGTCGATTTTTGGCCTGTCTAATTAATATGCATGAGCCTCTCTTCTGATTGGCCTGTTGTTTTCTGAGTGACGCACGGCCAGGCCAACCACAGGGAACTAGGGTCATGTATGCTGTAGCCTGCTGTGGTGATACTCACAAGTAAGGTCATTAGAAACACCTGTAATGATGGTCACTGCTGAGGGAAATGTTGTCCGGCCTTACAAAGTTTGAGCCGAACTCAGACCCGAATCGGCGACGACAGGAGACAACCAACCACCTCCTCAAACACGCTTACAACAGGATGACAACAGGATGTTTCAAAATGGTAATTCATGTTTTTTTTTTTTCAAACACCGAATGCAGTAAATACAAACCTGACCGGCCGAGCGTTTGCAATCACGTGAACTAGAAGAGAAGACACTTGTACAAATGCGGATGGGTGACATGAATGGAAATGTTTCCAGATTGGCGATGTAGTATTTGGTTTCTGTATTCTGTACTGTAATTTCCTGCACTCAAACCTGCCAATCTAAAGGATCAAACTGTCTATGGCGTTTGAGGTAATTTGTGAATTATGTAGCATTTGGACCAATCATACACACCATTTTTCATTTGATTTAACAAATCAATTATTCATTAGATTAACAAACATTCACAGACCCCTCACCCAATAAACATACTGGGTGCCAGGATGTCTGCAACGACACCAGGCCCCCCCTGGTCCCCATGGCAACCACGACACCTTTGCTAGACCAGATACATTTACGACCTAATGGAATGTGAGTAGGGAAAATCACTGCATGTTCCATAGCAAGAGGCACAATGCACAGTAGAAATGGACTTTTCTACTAATTAATTCATAGAAAAACCTTTCTGTGAATGAACACACATATCCTTCAGGTCATTGTGTATGTTGTCTTTGAGATTTTATACTGTTTTATGCAGGCTTATGATGGAAACACTCATTCCTGTCATCTTACATATATGTAACCCTACCATGTTTAGTATATATGAATTAGTCTTCTGATGATCTAAACGAGAGTGTATATTATATGTTGGTACATAGGCAATATATTAGTGTCCTGAGAATCTTTAATAATTTCGATTCAAGTTCCATATGCAAATTACCATGCTTCCACACAAAGAGTCATAAAACTCCCCAGTATCTCAAAACTCCCACTTGGGACGTCAGCCTTCTCATTGGACAAGCCCATTTTGAGAGGCAGGAATCTTCGCAGACTTTAAAGGCCTCACATTCAGTGACCCGCCCAGAGTCGGTGGTTTGGTTGAATTCTGAGAAGATGAAAATGTGAGCTACAACGCTCCAGGACATCCTAAGTTTTGTGCCAGGCCTTCGGCCTTGACTTTTCCATTCATCAAGATTCTCTGACGCAAACTGGTTCTTTTTCATAAACCAACTTCAGCAAAGATCCACATGAGCCTTCAGATTGCATCAAGCCTTTCTTTCAGACAGACGAGACGTGCAAGTATTCAAACTTAGTCTTATTAATTGATACATTAGGTATCATTTGCACCTTTTTACAAAGGTGTGTTTGAACTAAGAATCTGATGTTCCCTTCAGGCTGTAAATCTGCTGAATATGCAAATGGTTCCATAACTTCATATTCTTATTCTCCCTCCTCTTTACTGAGTTAAGCTTTAACCCTTTCCTATACCAACTGTATGCGTGTGTGTGTATGTGTATGTTAGACCAGTTTAAGTGTTTATGTAGTATGTTAGACTAGTTTAAGTGTTTATGTAGTTAATAAAGCCTTACTTGTATCACACTTGACGTTGTTCATTGTTTGCTCATAACTGGAGTCACTTAATCATGCAGATTTATGCTACAAGCTCTGTGTAGAGTTGTACAGTAAGAAAGTTATTTCCCTTAACCAGGAAATTAACGTTCTTAGAATTGACAGACAATTGACCCTGAGAGGTCAAGTAAATATCTACAGCGGATCTAAAATATTCATAATTAATTATAACTAGTTATGATTAATTATTCATATTTCCCCATGAATGAGCTGATTCGCTACAAAGTTGACTTCATGTTTGCGTTTACCTCTGCCTCCATCTACAATAAAAGTACACAATAAAATTTCGTCCCTACAGTAGGGGTGTATGATAATGACAAAACATTATATCTTGATATTTTCTGAAATTTTGTTGATAACGATAATTAGACAATATTTTGCTGAGCATGTTATTTTGGTAGGTTTAGGACTGCCGTGGACAGCTATCTCCCAAAGCTTTTGATATTCTTCATATTCTGTGCGGTGATTAGTTTGCAGGAGTAACAGAAACGTCTTAGGTTACGTATGTAACCATGGTTCCCTGAGAAGGGAACGAGACACTGCGTCCT